ATCCTGGGTGTGGAGAATCTTTAGCCAAATGTTAGCTTGTTAATGAACGACAAAACAACTCGTCCGCATAGGGCTCAGCTGGTCGATGTTTACCTCGAAAGGGAAGATATTCGCCACATGGATTTATCATCCAGATCTCCTGACATTAACCTTATAGAGCATATATGAGATGCTCTTGGAACGGCAATTTCATCTTGTCATTCTCTTCCGAGAACGATTCCGAAGCTGAAAACTGCCTTGCAGCAGGAGTGGGATCGACTGTCACAGGGACTCCTCAACTGCCTCATGTTCAGCATGCGGTCACGTTGCGCGACCTGTCTCGCTGTAACAGAGACCATACATCATATTAGACTCATTTTCAGTTCGATATCACAACGTGGATTTTGGGCATCCTTACACCATTAGCTTTAATAATAATGATGCATACATAAAATGACTTCTGAGTAGTACATTTCTTTCTCTGTTATAGATGTATATTCATAGCAAATTTCATTAAAATCCGTCCATTAAGGTTTCATAAACTCGTCATAATATGAAAATTTTCTTCATTTTGCAAACGAGTGTACTTTCTTCAAAAAAGATAGCCATCTTATCTGCTTCCCATAATTAAAACCATATTTAATTGATACGTTTTAACACCTCGGTGGGGGTATTCATATAGTTAGTCTGTTTTATCTGTTGCAGATAAAGATCAGAAGTTATTGCAGTCGAGGAGAACAAAGAGTTTCCCTTTATATATCATGTTATTAAAGTGTCTATCTCACTGACGTAACAACGAGAATAATTTTTAAAAAATGTAGTTTTATCTACAGTTCTTCTTAATATTTTGAAAAAATTTAGAAATAAAACACGATTCCTCTATTATATAGTATGTCGATCGTAAAATTTCTAATTTTTCACGCATTTGTTTTCCTAAATTAAAAATGAAATCTATTCGTAATGATGAAATTTTACGTTTTATGTCAACACACAAAGGGCAGTATTTTGTATATAATTAAAAAAATTATCAACTAGTGCTCCTCTTTCCCAAATGTTAATCCATTCTCACCATTCTGAATTAAAAACAGTGGGGTTTTAAAAATTGGTTTTAAACGAATTTCAGTTTTGTTTAATTATAAATATTTCTTTTTAGCATTTGGTTATAGCAAATGTAATTTTTATTTGTCTAATGGTTAAGATCATTTTTGAGAAGTCTGAAAGTTATCTGAAGTTTTTCGAATGCAACTTATTTTATCATTACTATTTCTTTAAACCGTCTAGGCGCTTGAAAGTTTGATAATCGCCGGAGGAAAGCGAACTTATCCCTATATTCGCTGCCTTGCAAGAAAGATGATAGGTAACAAAAGCAACCAAACGTTATATGAGAGTTGAAAATCACTCCGGCGATATTAGCATGATAGCCAGCCGCTCTCAATCGCCATACCGATGGGGCGGCAGTCTAATTGAAATAAATAATGGATTAAAGGATTAAATTCGTTTTATAGTTATTATATTATTATACTATCGCAGTCACTTATCCATCACACCAATTTTTGATTTTGGATAAACTTTCAAAATATTATGCTAAACCTAGTTGTTCGAAAATAACGTATTAAAAATATCGAATTCGAAGAATTTTCCAACAGAATTTTTTTTAGCTCCTTAACTTTCGTACAAAGCATTTCTTAAATAAGTTAAAAAAAAAAAAAAAAAAAAAAAAAAGAGTTCTTTAACTGAAGGCGGAGGCGTGCATTCGTTCTCCTTCACAAACTTCTATGGCTTCTCCACATTATTACACTGAATCAAACTTTGTAAATGACAGCCCAAAGCGCGAATAAATATTATTGTACAAAATGGGATAATAAACTGTATGAAATTCTCAAACGTATAGTTGAAATTTTTAAGCATGAAGAAGCCAGTTTAAAGAAGACAAGACTAAAATCGATAAAGTAAAGAAAAATAATGCTTAACTTCTTCCAAGCTCATACATTTCATGCATTGACTAGTTTAAACTTGGAAGCTAATACACTAGAAAAGATTCTCCTACTCCATGATATTTAGAGATGTAATTAAAAACCCCAAGTTTGCCCTTAACATATATTATTGAGTAAGTTAAATCTGAGTGAAAGAAATGTGGTTTATGCCGCAGTTATGTTAATGAGGATCCCTGTCTTGAAGGTTCCTTACTTTAAGAAATGCAATTTAAAACTTAGTATCTCATAAGAGAACTTATATCACAATAATATGTATTTTTATTACTATACAAACAATTTAAAATTTGTTACATTAACAGCAAAAACAATATTGAGTATTTTATGATGGTTAACATAACATCTCGTTAACACACATATATCGACTATGTTAGCAGTTATATGCGCCTGCTGGATGTTTATGGTTTTAGCGCTTCATTGTTTTAAATGTCGCAAGTACGAATTCCAGTATTTAAAGACTAATATTTAATTTTTTTTTCTAACAGTCATAAATTTCCCAAACTATTGTATATCTTTATTTGAAGATTTTAACAATTACTCGATTTTAACAATTACTCTATACTTTTGGTTTATTGAAGTACGAACGATACTTGGATTCATGATGCTTTTATAATTTCCGTGGTTTCATACTCTTCATAGCCAAAATATTATTGGAAATTATTCATTGCCATCAGAATTACTGAAAATAAAACTAAATTGGAGAAATGCCTCTTATATTATTTTCCTCGCATGCTAGATGTTCCTTTCTGGTTACTAAATGCTGCTAGAAAAGACTATATAGCATTGGCATCTGCGCCATTACGTTTGTTACTCTAGTTCAACCATTTATCCATGGATAAAAAATATTTTATCTAAAATATAAATAAAATAACATTTCTCATAGTAATTAATCAAATAAATACCGATTTTAGTTTAGTATGACAGAAAAATACAACAATTTATTAATCTTGCGATGCGTACACAGTCGCAATGAAACAGAAACTACAGACTAAATTGGAAAAGCATAATCAGCAGACTAGTAGCAGTGCGCAACATCATTCTTGGCACACTTGCATGGCTCAGGACTTTACGTGCGTCTGCGGCGTATTTTTGATTTTGAAAATAACGTATATGTTGAAATTATTAATTTCCCCCTTATTTAGGATAATTTAGGTAATTTAGGTTGTAATGAAACCGGCAAAAACATATCAGTAGATAAGTTGAATAAAAAAAACTAGGAATATTTAAAAAAATTAAAATAAAAGAAATGCGATCTCGACATTATGCGTTTGTGTCATTTTTCAATATGTAAATATAATTTGCAGCTCAAGCCAGTAGTATACTGTTTTATATTTGCGCTGCACAGGAAATGAATATTAATTTAATATTGAAGGGATTGAGATTAATGTTTTTTTTTAAATTTATATATCTGAATTAAATTTCTTTTCGTTTTGGGACTCTATTTGGAGCCGCGACCCACAGTTTAAGAAGCTATATATTAAAATACACATTCAAAACATTTTTAAGTGATGGACAACATACAATGAACTGGTTTTAGTTTTTTAAATACTCAATCGGCAAGCTACAACCTTTAATATATTTCTAAATAATTTGCTCTTTACATTCTTTTCTTAGTAAACAGTTTAAAGGAAACGAAGAAAACATGATTTCTATTAATTTCAGCGAACTAATTCAATATAAGTATAATGTTAAATTTAAATTGATTTTTGACTAAAATGAAAGGGCAAGCGAAATACTGTTATTTATAATGTTTAATTTTCCCCTTATTTAGGATAATTTAGGTAATTTAGGTTGTAATGAAACCGGCAAAAACATATCAGTAGAGGAGTTGAATAAAAAAAACTAGGAATATTTAAAAAAATTAAAATAAAAGAAATACTACCATCAATCTCTCCCGAGATAACCATTCTTATTTTGAGCAGACTTATCCTGTTATTCTTGCTATTATCTGAAGCAGATTGAAAAGCTCCCTTTAAGTATCTTTAATTGGGCTATCGTGGCTGTCTCGAAGTCCTGAAATGCTTAAAAAATGTTACTTTCCACATTTATTTTAACGTTGGCGAAAAGCCACAGGTCGCATAGTTCTAGATTCAGTCGATGAGGGTACACTATAATGTTTCAACTTAATAAAAAATGGGGTATTATGAACAAATGTGTGACACAGAACATTTTCACGAGGGAGGAAATGGAGAATGAAACTGGTGGGAAATTTTTAGGCCGTCTTTTTGCCAGTGTTCTTTTATGTTCTGATAGACTCTCTTAATATTTCGTGTTCGTCATAATGTTTTAGGTAAAAGCTCAATTTTAAAGATTTCATCAAAGTAAAAGTACATAATTCTCATCATTTTGATATACGAGTTTCTCGTTTAAGTAATCACTTGAACTACTTGCAAGCCATTTACATTACCGTAAACTAAGTGGATACTTCATACGTTTCTTTGAACTGAAGATCCCTTCCTTTCGCTAAGATAGCTCGCAGCCAATAGCATTTACCGCATGTTTTGATTCTCCTGTGTACAAGTATATAAATTCAGCGCCCTTAAATTGCTTAATCAGGTTCAGTGCCGGAAAAAAAACATTTCTTCCCTTAAATAAATAATTTTGCTTTAAATAATTTAGCCTTAAATAAATAATTTTGCTTTAAATAATTTAGCCTTAAATAAATAATTTTGCTTTAAATAATTTAGCCTTAAATAAATAATTTTGCTTAAGATATGCATTCTAGTAGAAGTAAAATTCGCGATAGTATTAGGAAGTAATGTGAAAAATATTTAATATTAGGTATGCAGCACTGAAAGGTGTAATGTTATAAATGAGAATGAACGACAATCATGACAGACTGAAAATAAAATACGTAGAAAGTAGACGAAACGTTTAGAACATTTAGTGTAAAGAAATAAGTGAAAACTTTAACAATAGATTTAAAAAAAGAAATATTTTTATATTACATTAATTTGTTTATTATTATTTTAGAGAAGAAGTTTTGAGCAATTTGTCCTATGTCTTTATACTAAAAATGCTTACACTGAAAAGTTTTGCAAGTAACATTTTATTACATGATACAAACAAGTGGGTAAATATGCCCATTAATACTGTACAACATAGAGGCACATAATATACATTTCATATTTAAAGAACATTTTCTACATTTAGACTTTTTGAATTTCAGCATGTTTAAAGTGCAAGGAAAAATAACCTTCAGTTTTCACTTGTGTATGTAAAAATTGTAATTCTAATTAAAATTTTACACTCAGACACCGGTATATTCATCCTGGTAGGAAGCTTAATAAGCCTTCAAGCTTCAATTATTAGGAGCTAACGCAAGTTAATTACATACACACATACACAGGCACACATACACACACATATATATATTTCTTCAAAATATTATGCATTCACATTTCTAGCTGTTATATAATTCGACAGTCTTACTTTACATCTCTTTAGAAGATTTTGTTTCATAATTTTATCATTATTATCCAGTTATCAAATTCACGATTTTATAAATTTAAATGACAAAAAATACATATGGTCTTATAATCTATTATATGCTTACATTACTTACATAGAGGCCATACTTTTTTAATAATAAATATTGTTCGCCTCATAATATTTACGGTACTACTAAAATGCAAATTTGATATAAATGTGTCATTTACAGAAAAATACGACACTTTATAACATCATGAAAACGCTGTGCTGTGCTTGTAGAAAACCAAAAATTAAAGATATTACCTCATAAAAAAGGAAAGTGTTATAAAATTTAACATGTACGTTTTCTTCTAGAACAAAAAATAAATAACAGTTTTAATCCAGTTTGATTTATTATAAAATACTGCACTAACATGCTGTTTATTGTTTACAAAATGGATAAAATTTGTTTAAGAGGGTTTTAAAATACGAGATATGAAGGGAAAATGTTTACATGACAGTAATAAAAACGAAATTTTCCTTTTGCGCTGAATAATAAAAAAAGTGTTGAGTGCTCTGAATGGATACTTTAACTCCAAGAGTATTAAATGAAAATTTTAGTTTTAGGATGACGAAAAAAATAAAAACAGAATTTTGCGTGTGCTTGGAAAAACAAGAGGATTTTTTTAGAACACAGTGGGTAAGGTTCCTTAATTTACATAGCTACAGATTTCAGTCTGCGAAGAAAGCTTTTGGTTAATCTGCGAGGTTTTCCACCGTATCATAATATGCTCGACTTCTATCAAATATCTGCTATCACGTTAAGGCAATCAATGCTTAAGCTAATATAAAATCTCTTTCAAAGAATGATGAGGCTGCTATTAAGCAGTCCTTATCCGCTGTCCTCAACCAGACAGACTAAATAACATTTTCAAAGTCTACGCTCGATCTACTAAGCCACTTGCTATGTTCCCTGCTTATTCATACCATTTTGTTGGAGTCCACACAGCATATTTCTATGTTCGACTATCGAATTGGGCCTCACAAATTTATTAATAGAAGAATAGTTTTTTGATTACATGAATGAGGAATGTACTATTCAAGGGTTTTTCTACTGAAAGCAACTGCTCTAGAAAACCAATAGCACCAATATTATACCTGAGACAATATACACACAATCGTATTTGATATGAAAGATATGTTTTTGCTAAGTTTATTCTCGTTTGATATTCATCATTAGGCAGTCAATAGAAATAAATCATTCAGGATATCATATTTAAACCATTCAAACCATCCATCTTTTGTAAATAACAATAAAACTATACTTCTTTGCGAATCTTGTACCCAGAGAACGAAACTGGGGGAAGAGCAACATATTTTACTTTTTATTAAAGGTGAAATTGTTTTTGCTGGAAAAACATATAATAAGTTACTTATTTCACGTAAATAAGAGATTTAGCATTTGTCTAATTTTAAGCAGAAAAAATGTAGTTTATATTTACTGATTTCTAAATTTATTCTTGACAAGTTATTACGCTTATTTTTAAATTCATAGTTAATGTAATCATATTATGAAACTATGAGCTGTACTTTGCAGATGCTGTGCTTAAATTGAAATAAACGTCTGACACAACTTTGATGTGCACACGCTTACGGATCGATTAAGAGATTATTGATGAAATTCGAGAAATTTGTGCAGTTTGAAAATTTATTATCATATTTGCATTTTTATATAAATAAAAGCTATGTTCCACTAACATTGAATGAATAATAAGTTAATTAAATTGCGAATATGTTTTTAAATTATGAAACAATGAGTACTTAGAAAAATATACATGAATATAAAAACATACGATGAAATATATATCTTTTATCTAAGGAACAGGTTGCTTAAACGAATAATATATGTTGTTTGAATCACATGATCCTGGAAATGAATATATTCTAGTATAACAGATTTTAGCTGTTCACATTGGATAATTTTCACAGTTTTTAAATACTTAAAATTTTTCATAAAGTCATGAGGATTTAAAACATAGCGGTGTTAACTTAAGCAAGGCGAAATTGTTCATATACCTTATTGTGTATTGCAAATGAAAAAACTTAACTTAAATCCTAGATAAGTTTTTCAGAACAATTATTTCACATAGACACATTACAACATTAATAATTTCAGGTTTCTTTTGCGTAAAAGAACCACAGCAGAGCATCGTTTATCTTCCCTCAGTTACTATCATTTTATACACATCCAATGCATATTTCTTCATGTACAGAGGACGTCGCTTAATGTGATCGTGGTTAATGTTATCATTGGAAATTGTTATCGAATTGCCAAAGTCCCGCCTGTTTTCATACGAAAACAAACCGCTATAAATAAATAAAACGCTTATTGTGATCAAGCATTCAGTTAATATGATCCAAGTACCATAGAATAAAGATTTTTAATCTGGGATAAATTTGGCAAATAAAAGGCAAAGTCGCCAAATAACAAGAGCAAAATAGGTTATAAAAATTGTTATTCAACAGAAAAATGCCATCAAATAAGACATTAAGTAGACAAACATCTTGGGTTCGGTTTTGGTTAACTCTTAATAACCCCAAAAGAAAGGAAAACCTTTTGCATAGATTTTTAAATAACTATTGATTTTGAGGGCGATCAGACACAGGTCCTTTAGCAGCAAAATAGTTTTGCAGAATTTTTCTTTTTGTTTTGCTTATGAGTAAAAAGGTTCCCAGAAAACACTAACCCCAAACTAATGTTGCTTTTTTGTCTGATATTAAGTTTTACACATATATGTTCTTTTCCAGTGAGGAATGCCCTCCGAGCATTAAAGTTTCCAGAAATAATATAAACAGCCCATAAACGAACTTTACATTAAGGACATTATGAGCCGTTCATAAACAAACTTTCGCATTTTCCTAATTGAAATGCCGTGAAAGTACGTATTTATATATTCCTTGTTACATTTATATTAAATTACCTAAGTTCCGTTGCTATTTTTAAGGACATATTTTCATCGTTTAATGTTACCATTCTTTTAAACTTACCAAAATAACCGTGGACAAATATGATCACAATAAGCCGCGCCTACTGTAAGTAATTTTAAGTCAGGGCAATAGATAAAAGAATTTCAGGTGACATTTCTGGAATAGTATCATAAAAGTCAATTATTGTCTGGTGAGGTAGTATTAACATAACATGATTAAAAAATATCTCAGATTTCAGAAAAAAGGGATTAATTTTTCCTAGATATGTGTCAAGCAGGGGGAAAAAGTGTCTCCAAAAGTCCGTGTCCACAGTCATTATATTTTCGCAATCGTTGGCCGAAGACTTATACTTCCATTAACAAAAAATATTTCAAATGACGCAAATATTCAAGTTGGGGCCTTTTCAAATAAGAAAAAGGAATTTTTTGAAATTTTCGAAATTAACTTATTACACGGCAACCTGGTTCCTATAGTTATACTTAAAAGTCTTTTATCCTCATAAGAAATATAACGCAAAATTTTACTTCCTTACGACAAAAATTGATCGAGATAGTTAATTTCAAAATCTGGCATCTTGATTTCCTTTTTGATTTATCTTGAGAGGTCGGTTAAAAATAATTTAAAATAATTTGAGGATGATTTTTCTTCGTTACAAAAGAATTTTCGTTTTTTCGTCACAAAAGAATATTATTGTCATTCAATAATATTCTTTTGTGATTTTGCAGCATTCTTTAATTTATAACCTTGATTCAACTGATATGTCAAGAGAATTATCTCACAAGTAATTTAAAAGATTTCAAATGCTACGAATACTGTTATAATATATATACGCTATTGATATTCTCATGAAGTCTTATTACTTTAGAATCATAATCGTAATCACAGAAAAAACGTTATTTAACTAAAAACTTCATTTTTATTTATGCAAAATAATTTTACGAGTTGGCTCTGGGCCATAAATGCCAGTGTTTCCTAGAATAGTGTCCCTTAGAACGCGAATTGTATAATATTTTAGGAACACGTCCTCTTTTAAAAAAATTCATACTGATCATTACTTGTACATAGCAAGGCCCATCGCTTAATCTATCAAAATCAGAATTCTAAATTAATATTTTACTTTCAGTTTCGTACAAAAGCAAACATTTCGCTCTTCAATTTGCATACTGCCTCTCAACATGATTTCCAAATTCAAAATTAAATATACATGGGTAAATGTTTTTCGTACGGAAGTAAAACGTTTTGTGTTTTATTTTTTATAATGCGTATATACTTTCTCTAATCAACTATAGGGATAGGAAGCAAAACAAAAACTGTACATTGTTAGAACAGCTCCTTTAATTTGGCCACTGGTAGTCCGGAAAATAATAACTCTGCCTACAATGATGATGCCATACCTCCTAAAGCTTGTTCACATTCAGTTATTGCTCAATTATTTTAAAGCTATGAAACTTCATCCATAAGAAACATCAAACTGAAACATTTTTGATAAATCGGTTTGTTACGCAATCTGTTAAAGAGCAACTGAAACGTGCTTGACCGTCTGCTTTATAGTATATTTTGCCGGCATACTTCGTAACATATAAACTTTCTCCAATATGACATCATCATTTTGGGCGGAGTTAATGGTGATGTTTTTTTCCGGATTGCTATTAGTCAAATTTAAGCGGTAGTATTAACACTGTACAACGTATAAAACGTAGATTTCGTAATTTTTACAAAACTGATTTGTTAAAGTTGAAAATGCAAAAACATGAACATTTGCATAATTTAAAACATTTTTAGTTGGAAGTATTTGTCTTCGAACAACGGTTGCAAAAACAAAAGGCCGCATAATGAATTTTATGGAGTCAGTGTTTAATTGGGAGGGCAAATTAACATGCAGTATTTAGTGTGCAGCCGTTTTCAAAAAGAATATCCATGATGATTCAGTTGTTTAATTATGAACCAAGAGGTTATATGTTACGCATAAAAAAAAATAGTATGAATACAATGAATCTTTCACCGAAATTTTATTTATTTTATATTTCTGCTTGGGACACATCATTATAATTTCCGTACTTTTTGATAAAATGTTACTTATTGAAACTACTTACTTACTGCTGTTACTTATTGAAACAATTTTTCTAAGTCATTACGTTAATAGAGAGATAGTGTGGTTTCATAAGCGAAAGATGCACATCATTTGCTTTACCTGACGAATTATACCTTCTTATTTTATTGATACAGGTTCGTGTAATGCTTAGATGTGAATATATTGTTACGAAAATCTGATTTTTATTCTGCATAGATAACATATTTTAACCGATTAAGCGACGCTCTACTGTATCTAACATATATTTTAATTTATAATAGCTCTCATTATCCTCATACATGTGTGAATCTTAATCGTCTATCATAATGAAACCCTAAAAATTAAATCAATTCATTGTACCGAAATACAAGTGTTAAGCAAAATGCTGCTCTTCACATCTATTATTTATCTCATATCAATAACATTAACACAGACTCGCCAAAAGAACACTAGCATTTTACAAAACTTTTACAAATATGACATTTAATGCGTTTACTCAAAGCTTTCATTTCCATTATATTGTCTTCTGGAACAAAGAAATATGTAGCAGAAAATCAAAAAACATCGACAGGTCTATACAAAGCTGTATATCCACAACAACGAGCCCGAAGATGGTCCACGAACACAAGTGCTTCTGTTACATGTTCTACAAGCGCAGAACATTCACACATCAAGACATAAGTTATTCCTCCTTCTGGAAAAAGCTTCTTGTGAAAGGTTAGTCTCCGTAGCCCTAGATGCTTAGGCAAGTACTTGTAAACTTGACGAGCCCCTGTCCATGTTAACCAGTTTCTTTCAAGTTTTTCTCTGTCTTCTCCAGGAAAAACACGAAAAGCTGATATTATGTAACCTGTTTTGTCAGTTGAGGGACGTTTTGTTAGGCAGTCCAAAGATGGTTTGACAATAGTTGCTACTTCTTCGTATCCAGCTGGAAATAAAAAGTATAGGTTTTAAAGAATGAAAACACTGCGTAAGCATATTTAAAAACATATGCAAGTATAAATACATAGTACCAACGTAACACTGAACGTTTAAAATAGTTTCAAGAATACAAAGAAGTGAAACGCTATTAAGATCATTCATTTTTAGTCCGTATACATTATGCATAAAAGTTAATGTTATCCAGAATACAAAATATATTCTAACTATTGCTGCTAATTTAAATGAGCAAAATAAAAGGAGAAATGAAAAAGGAAAATGTAGATATTCTTTCTCTAAAAATTTTATTCTTTTTCATTATTTTGCAAATGAATGCTGCAAAAAGGAATTATATTAATGTACATTTTATGGGAATATGTTCAGCAACAAATTATTTATTAATCTTTATGCAATGGAGTTTGAAACGTGCTTTCGATGGGTTTTATTTACAGTAAAAATACATGCACATTCATTCTTAAAAAATAGATAAATATTCGAATGTGAATTCATTTTTAACAACAATATTCCTTTTTGCAAACACTAGAATATCAAAACTACGGAGCTAATTTACAGCAAATAGTACTTTTTTTAAAGAAATATGAAGCATTAATCTTGGATAAAAGTTTTATCCAAGATTTTTACCCAAGAAAGTTATCATTTGCTTTACCTGACGAATTATACCTTCTTACTTTATTGATACAGATTTGTATAATGCTTAAATGTGAATATATTGTTACGAAAATCTGAATTTTATTTTGCATAGATAACATATTTTAACTGAATAAGCAACGCTCTACTGTATTTAACATATATTTTAATTTATAATAGCTCTCATTATCCTCTTACATGTGTGAAGCTTAATCGTCTATCATAATGAAACCCTAAAAATTAAATCAATTCATTGTACCAAAATACACTTTACTACTTAAAAAAACTTTTATCCAAGAATAATGCTTTCCCTTTATAACAGTAAAAAAGAAGATTTTTTAAATAACGGTTTTTAAACTAACTCAGGACTACCCAGACAATTTTTGATGCCATAAGAAATTTCTGTTCGCTTTTTGAAATGAAATGTTCATGAATATTATTTGCGCTAGAATTACTACAAAAATCACTATATGTTTGCTTGTTGCAAAGTACAATGGCAGCAGGGAAAACCGTTTTTAAAGCTATATCATAATATCAATCATTATGTTATAAATTATGAATTCGACTTTTCCCTTACGAACCGTTGTTCAAAAGAAAAGCAAAGTTTCAACCTTGCGTTAATTCAATTTTTCAATTTGGATATACTTGCTATTTGTATGTTCTTCTGCAGTGCTCAGTAACCCCAGCATGTAGGTTGTTCTTTTATGTCACTCCTACAGTGTCCAGTAGACCGAATACCAGAAAATATTAGGCAAAGAGTGAAACTTGTGAATAACCGGATTATCAGATGTCTCAAACTTGCTAATATATACGCAGTAAATTGGTCTTGGAATATATATTTAAAGAATTTTGAATGGAAAAATTTGTGAGTAGATGCTTTTCATTAGACTGTGAAATAATCACCATACTAAACATTTGTTACTGTATTATTCCTAAAATAAATATCCAACATTCTTTCCATCCATCCATTCATCCATCCATATATCTATCAATCTATCTATATTTATCTATATATATATTACTGCCTAAAGTGTGGAAATCAGTTATTTTGCAGTTCACCTAGATAACTTGCAAATTAACTAGGATGACCCGTTAAAGTGCGGAAAATTATTTCATTTCTCAAATTATCTGGGCAATCTGGAAATTACCTAGATAATCTGCATATTACCTAATAAGTGCTCTTTAAAGTGAAAATAAGATGTATTTTGGTGTATTGTGAATACGGCAAAGCACACTAGGGCTATCTGCCTAAGGGGAGGGATGCCTTCGTGGAGGACTTTCTAAGGGAAACTGGCTCATATACACGTTACACATGGCTAAAACCACGAAAACTCCCATGCAGCCAGCCCGTTCGCGGGATTCGAACCTCGGACCGAACTACCAGTGTTCAGCGATTTTACCGCTCGGCCGCTGGAGGGCCACAAAGTGAAAATAAGATCTTTGCTGGAACAACAGCAACGTTTCTGTACACTAAACAACCGACACTTACGCTTTTAAATTGTTCATTAGATAGGGTTTTAGAAAATGTTATTGCAAATCTAAATGTACCACAAATAGGAGTGCTTGTCTTAAAATCCATTTCTGTGTAATTCAAAGTGTCACCAATCTTTAGATTACACTATTAAGTAAGTATAATCACATATTTTGCAATTTCATTTTATTAATTGTAATAATATTTCAAAACGTTTTATTCTTTGTGTTGTAGTTTTTTTAATTGATTGCTGATTGATTCTATTAACCAATTTGTTGATTGTTTGATTGTATTAACTCAATTTTTAAATATCGAAAAATAAATACATAACAGTATGTTAATTTAAGCGTACAGAAATATCGCTGTTGTTCCAGCAAAGATCTTATTTTAAGTTTAACGAAAGCCTAGTAGGCAATGTGAAGATTAGGGAGTGACTAGTAGGTAATGCGCAAAGTGGAGGGAGAGGGAAAGGAAATGAGAGAAGCAAACGTTTGAACTTTAACGGTATGGAAGTAGTTAATGTGCACATTACCTAAGTAAAATGCTGAAAACTCTACATTCCGCGCTTTAGTAATGTGGCTCACCAGTGGCCGAGCGGTTAAAGCCGCTAAACACTGGTAGTTCGATCCGGGGTTCGAGTCCCGGCGAACGGGCTGGCTGCGTGGGCGTTTTCGTAGTTTTACCCATGCGTAACGTGGATACGAGCCAGTCTCCCTTAAAAAGACCTCCCCGGGGCATTCCTCCCTTTCCGTGTAGTGCCTAAGGGCGGAGCACGTAATAAGCAAAGAAAAAACTAGGTAATGTGGACAGTAAAGACTTTCGCATTTTAGCGGTATATGTATATATATACACTTATTATAATTGGCTTATATATATGTAATGCTTTCAGTTATTCCAACACATCGTGGGCGAATGGTGAGGCTATTCCATTACACGTTCTGGCAGATGGTTGACGAAGCTGGAATGATTGAATCACGGAGAAAAATGACGACTCAGGACTTTTCACTTTTAACAGCAAGCATATCTTTATTTTAATTTACAGCAGATGACTTTTTCCATATGGAGTTAATCAAATAACTTATTCAGTAATTGAACTATTAGATACGACTGACTTTAAATTTTAATACGTCATAACATTCTAACAAAGAAAGAGGAGCATAGCGGAAGTGTTAGCAGGAAGAAGGCGAGAAGGCATCTGTTTAGGAGAACTTATGACGCAGCATTTATATGAAAGGTTATGTAACAGAGTAGCTTCTAGAAAATTGTAGAAAAACTTATGACGCAGCATTTATATGAGGAGGTTATGTAATGGGTGCGAATGTTCTAGAAGGTACTGGCTTAGGGGAAGATCCTGAATTGCAGAAAATTAATTAAAGGTTGCTGGTTCGCAAAGAGCATAGCCATCGTATTAAGCCGGCAGGATAGTTTCCTGCAGCCTGAAACCTCAATGGAAAATTTAATTCAGCTCTTCAAATGATCGTTTTGTGATAAATCCAAGATAATGTGAAAGAAGTGAATCATCAAGTTTGTTTTTTCAGTGTTTAAAAAATAACAGATCATTCTTCTGCTGTGGTGTTTTGCAAGTGCTTCAAAAAATAATCTCGTGTAGTATTTACAGATTGAAAGTAATCTCTCGATAAATTGAGAAGTTCGAATGCCTAGTGAAAAGGAAATCATCAGTGAATTACCGTTTAGGAATTCAGCATTACAGCGGGTTCAAGGTCGATCTGAGTTAGTGTTTGCAAGTATGTGCGACAGAAAATTATTTGCACTTCCGCTTTTTCAACAGCTCAAAAATTTATTACATTCGTGTGAATCTAAGCTCAGGAAACTAAATTATTTAATGTGCTGCGGATTCTATAGTTTTCATTTCAACTTTAATTAAAATTTCTGCAATTTGTTTTGAGAAAATCTGAAATTCTTGTTCATTAATTTTTCTAATTTTTCATAATTATGTGTGAGAGCAAATTAAGTAACGCTAATTTTAAGCTATTTAAATTATTCATAGGGAAGGATATTAAGATAAGTTTTTATGTTTTTGGAATTTTGTTGAGAATTTTGAATACGAATTTTATAATTATTCTAAAAATAAAGATGTTAAAAATAAGTGAAATTAGTACAGATAAGTAATATGAAATTATGGTAAATGCATGTTAAAATTTATGGGTTATTGTGTGTTAAGTATAGTATGATGAGGGTGTACTGGTTTCTTCAACAGAGGCCTGTAATTACCTCTGTACAGTTGTTTCTTTTACCCTCTTCATGCAAGATAATTTTGGAGGCTCTCATTTTATGAATGCATGTAAATTTTTTATATTATTATTATGATTATTATTATATTTTTTATTATGGAATGTATTAATGCAGTTCTCAAAGGCCAGTTACCTTAATGCAAGGAACGGAGGCCTTTTCAAGTAACTGTCTAGGCACCCTGGGCCACCAGTGCATAGAACACACTGGTTAGCTCAAGAGGACAGCCCTATTGATGGATATGTTTGTTTAGTATTGCGAGGCTTTCCAGTTTGGTAAAATAAGGAATTGTAGATGAAAGATAATAACGGTGAAACCATAATTTCTGAAACTGTTACTCCTAATATATTTATGATGTTAAAATATAATTTATCAATATGAAAATTAATATCATAAATATTTATGTACATTTAATTATAAGTAATGATTATGTAAAAGTTTTTGTGATATTCTGTAATAACAAGAACCTTCCCTGAAGAATTATGATTATGTGAATTCTCAAACAAAAAGACTTTTGGACTGAAATGCTGAAAAATTCAATAGGACTCTAAAAATTAAAAATTTATTTTTAAAAATTGATATTTATAAATTATACTTTACAGGACAAAAATTTTATGATTTATTTATTTATATATTTTTTT